TTTCCAGTGGCTTGATTCCTGCCTAAATCCTTTGAGATTCCAGTCTTGCCCCTGGAGTCCTGCTGCCCACCCTTGATCTGGAACTAGACCTTCCTCAGCCTGGGCTGGTCCTATGCTCTGTCAAAACCCAGCTTCCTCAGCCCGTTGTGGACTTCAGATCTGACCTGCCTCTGGAATAACCATCTTCCATGGAGTATGTCAAGAAATCCAGAAACAAACATTGTATATTAATGCATATATATGGAATCTACAAAATGGTATAGATGATCTTATTTGCAAAACAGTAGTGGACAGATGTAGAGAACCAACATATGGACACCAAGAGGGGAAGCAGAGTGGGAGGAATTGGGAGATTGGGATTGACATGTATACACTAGAGACACTATGTATAAAATAGATAACTAATGAGAATCTCCCCTGGAGAAAGAAATGGCAATCCATTCCAAATGGCAATCCAGTATTCTTGCCTGGAGAATCCCATGGACAGAAGAGCCTGGTGTGTTCCCAGTCCATGGGATGGAAAGAGTCGGAAATGACTTAGCAACTAAACCACCACCAATGAGGATCTACTGTGTAGCTTAGGGAACTCTACTCAGTGCTCTGTGCTGAGCTAGATGGGAAGGAAATCCACAAAAGGGGGGATATATGTGGGATACTTGGGTTTGAGCCCTGGGTTGGAAAGATCCCCTGCAGAATGTAACGGCTACCCACTTCAGTATTCTTGACTGGAGAATTCCATGGATAGAAGAGCCTGGCAGGCTACAGTCCATGGGGTTGCAAAGAGGAGGACACGACTGAATGACTTTCAGTTGGAACTTGAATGACTTTCACTTGGAACTTGATGGCCAATTGACTTTGTTATACAGTGGAAACACAATATTGTAAAGCAACAATACTCCAATAAAATTAATAAAAAAGAAATCTGATTCTTCCTTCTAATGGAAAATACACAAATCGTATCAGTGACGCATCTCAGGTACCAGTGAAAAGGTGAGTCACTCTGTATGTCCCTTTCCATCTAACACATTGCCACATGTCATGGTGGACTGGGATGATGGTAAGTGCCCACTGGGTGGCTTCCGCTAGGAATTAGGGCCTAGAGGCAAGAGCCAGTTGAGGTCAGAGTCTCTGATGTCTCCAAGAGCCTCTGTCCTCTATGGAAGTGTAACCAAATGGAGCTCATAGAGTGTTAGAAATGTTCAGAATAAGGAGAATAACAACTAGTGGTTATTGAATGCTTACTCCATTCTGGAGAGTGTTCTAAGTGCTTGCATATATTGTCTCATTTACCTCTCCCATCCATTCTAGGATGAGTTATGAGGCACTATTATTATTTTCATTTTATAGCTGAGGAAATGAGACAGAGAGGCTAAGTCACATGTGCAAGCTCATGCAGCTGACCAGTGGCAGAGCTGGGTCCTAGCTTGTTTTCATATTCAAGAACTGGGTCAGTGCCCTCCATGCCTTGGGCATCTGCTTGGTGCTGGGGTAGGAGTGGTGGGGGTAGTACGGACTAGATGTGCTGAGCACCTTCCAAACTGCTGTGTACCATCCCAAGAGGAGATAAGACACCCCCCCAAAGGTTCAAGAGCAAATGGACTATGTTTTGCTTGCACTCAAACTGAAAGACATTTTCACTCTTACTGGGTTTGCCCCAAATTCTCATTTTGCCATGTTTCACACATTAAATTGATAATCAATGCTCTCATGTGGCTTCAGCACAAGATCCAGTAAGGTTGGAGGAGTTTGGAGGCTCCCAGTCCTTGGCTGTGCTACCCTCCCAGGGTGAGAGAGGAGGTGTGAACTGGCACTCAGAAACCCTCTGTCTTTCTTGGGCTGGTGGCTGCTTGGGGGCTGAAAGTAAACTCAAAATGTTCATAGCAACATTACTCATAATAGCCAAAAAGTAGAAATAGTAGAAATAGGCTTCCCTTGTGGCTCAGCTGGTAAGAAATCCACCTGCAATGTGGGAGACCTGTGTTTGATCCCTCAGTTGGGAAGATCCTCTGGAGAAGGGAAAGGCTACCCACTCTAGTATTCTGGCCTGGAGAATTCCATGGACTGTATAGTCCATGGGATCACAAGAGTTGGACACGACTGAGCGACTTTCACTTCAGAAGTCCAAAGATCCACTGATGGATGATTAGATAAAGAAAATGTGGTCTCTCCATCTGTGGAATACTATAGGCCATAGGCAGGGATGAAGCACTAATACATGCCACAACATGGATGAACCTGGAAGATGCTATGCTAAGGGAAAGTAACCAGACACCAAAGGCCACATTTTGTACAATTCTATGTATATGAGACACGAATCAGATTAGTGATTGCTAGGAGCTTGGGGGTTGGAGGCAATGGGGAGGGACTGCTGATGGATACATAATTTCTTTTCGAGTTGACAGAAATGTTCTGAAACTTAATATTGATAGTAATGATGGTTACACACCTTAGGGACTGTACAGAAAACACACTCAACTGTGCACTTGAAAAAGGTGAATATGGTATGTGAATGTATCTCAATAAAAATAATCAAACCAAAAATAGAACAATAACAAAAAGGAGAACACAGAACCCACCCTATCAAGTCTCAGATCAAAACACTATCTTATGAATTTAGGTTGTGGGAGAAAGGCCCTGGGCTGAGAGGATATTGGGCCTGTGTTTAAGCCTGAGCTCCTCCATTAATATTGGCATGGCTTTGGGCAAGTCCTTTCTCCTCTTGATGCCTCAGTTTCCCCACCTGTTAAGTGGCATTGCTGTGAGAATATATTCCTGATGGGATTTTGAAAAGTATTAAGTGCTTATTTTAACTTACAAGGCACTAATTAAAAGTGAGGTATCATTATAGTACTGGAGGGTGAACAGAGAGCCTAGAAGTATGATGAAAGGTAACCTTCTGCAATTGCCTCCATAATAAGAGATCTGAAGATGTGGCACTATCCTTGTGTGTGCAGGAAAAAAAAAAATCATTTGCTTGCTCTCACTCACTTTTTAAATAGAATGCCAAGTTGCCAGCTGCTACCCTGACTGCCAGTCCCACCCTGATCTTCAGTTTTAAAAAGATGAGAAATTTGGGAGAGGGGAGATAAATTATGAGTTTGGGACTAATATATACACACTACTATCTATAAAATAGATAAACAACAAGGACCTACTGTATAGCACAGGAAACTATACTCAATATCCTATAATGAACTTTAATAGAAAAGAATCTAAAAAAGAACACTTATGAATCACGGAATCACTTTGCTGTACACCGGGAACTAACACAATCTTGTAAATTAAGTGTACTTCAATAAAACACCTTAAACAAGATGAGAAATGTGGAGGCTGAGATGAAAGGTTTCTGTATCAACAAGAAGAGGGGGGAAATCTTTTAATATCTACCTTCCATACAGAATGCCTCTTGGCACCACCTCCGATTCGGATGTCTGAGCTTTCAGTGCTGGGGGCCCTTTGGGTGACTATGTAGTCCCTAATCTCATAATAAGTGACCTAAGGGAAAGGATCACCTTGGGATGCCGCTGGGTTCCAGGACTGCAAACTCTCCATACAATTCTCTGTCTGCTATCTGTTGCATTTTCTCGAAGCTTCCCAACCTCCATATGGGTTTGCAAGGTTTTCCTGGGATCCCCAGGGAACATCCAAGTTCTGCTCTGTTTTGAATCTATGTCTTAATAGCTTGCAAATCCCCAGTAAATTGTTTCTCTCCATCTTCAGTTATTAGCACTTCCTAGCAGGTCTTTTAGAAAGACACAATTCAAAATCTTTTGGAAGCTTAAATAAACCATATACATTGCCCTCTACCCAGTAAAAATCTCCCCCCTTAACTGTTTCAATATAATTGCACATGGAGCTTGTCCTACCCTTTCAGAGCCTGACTGGCTTTCTTCTTCATAGGTACCCACATAATGGATTTGATATCCATCTGTTTTTCTTAGGGTGGGGACTATTTTCAGAAGTTTTTGTTAAGATAATTCATAAAAATAAGAAAATTAACCAGATGCAGAATTCTCTTTCCCCCATTATTAAAATTGTTGCCTCCTCCACTTGTCTGGTATTGAAACATCCAAGCCCCATGAGGTCATGATCAAGCCGTGTTGGAATAGGGGCAGGGGCCAGGGATCAGGTGACCCTCTGTCCTGCTCATTCCTCAGTCCCAAGGAAGTCTAGGCCACAGTCCATCTAGAATCCCCAGTGTCCTGGGCCTCCACTAGCTCTGGGGCCACCTGATCTCAGAAGGACAGTGCACTGGATAACAGTTTGCCAGCTCCCTTTTACAAGTTTTTTTTTTTGAGGGGGGCAGTGGGTACAGTAGGGAACGCTCCAGTGCCTTAAGTCATTAGAATGTTGGTTTCTTTTTTCATTCAATTTTTTATTTACTTGAATTAAAAACCGTTCTTTGCTGCAAGTAAAAGGATCTAAACCCTTGGGGAACCTGCATCAGCAGCCAGATGTGAACGAACGACTTCACCGTGAGGACGAGCTTTCAGCTTTGGCCTCTTTTTTAGGAGCTTACGGTTGCCTAGGGGAGACATCGGAGCCTTTTGGGGGACTGCGGTTATCTCGAATCCTGGCTAAGTTCGGTCCTGACTGCGCGCGGCCGGGGCTCCAGGCGAAGCGAAGCAGTGAGATTCTGAATGAGAAGAGACTCCAGGCGGAAGATTGTTCTTCTTGCAGATTCCCTTCTCAGGGTGCGCAGGATGCGGGTGAGGGGTTCATGTTCAAACACACAAGGGGACACATTACTAGTTTCGACCTTTCAGCTAGAGAAGGTGCATGCGATCTTGATTTTTTCAGTCGCGTCTGTCTTTCCCTTAAATGTCCCTGAATGTTGAAGTCATCCTCGGAAGCCTTACCCAATCCCTTCTCCCCCTCCCCCCGCCCCCCCCCCCCCCATCCAGATGGTGGCGCTCCGGGACAGTGCAACCCCCTCTACCCCACTGCAGCCAAGTTGGGACAAGTTTCAAGGTGTTTGCTGAAATTGTTTGGGAGACTTTTCAATCAAAGTCGTAACTTAGAGCAGCTGGCACGAAATCTACCCCCAAGACCAAGGTTGTTGAGGGACCGATTATCCGAATCTCGCCCCCTATATAGAGCCCGAACCTCTCAGATTTCGCGTGGCCTGTGCGCTCCGAGAGCCTGGGCGCACCGCAGGGAACGGTGACTCCGGGGGAGGGAGAACCGCGGGGCCAGGGGTCGGCCCGACCCAGTTGAGGTCGAAATGAGACCCCCGCAAGGAAAAAGGACCAAGAGGAGTTATGCCTGCGGGGGTGGCGCTGGTCTGCAGGGGGCTTCTGGGTTGCACAGCCCGGCATCTCCGCGCCTGTCCCGCCGCTCCGGCATAGCTGCCGGAGCTCATCAAGCACCCCGCGCCACTTGGTTAAGCGTGCAGGGCACCTAGAGAGGAAACGGGAGTCGGAGCCGCTCGCCTTGGGTTTCTTTTTGAGCAGCGGCAGTCCAAGAGAAGGGCTCCCCCCCCCCCCCCCCCGCCGCCCGGGTTAACCTTCTCCCAGAGCAGCCTCCAGGGTACCAGGCAGCGGGGAAAGGATGCGCTCACACTCTCACTTGTCCCAGAGTTGGGGGCAAGCGACTCCCATCGACCTCCCCTCACTCCCAGAGTACAAACTCGGCTCCCAGAGCCTGGCGTAGGGACCATCTTCTTAAGGAGAACACAAGTCTGGGACTGGACTGAGTGGCCACCCGCCGCTGCCGCTAAGGGAGTCAGTCAACCAGCTCCTGCCAGGCACCGGAGTGGGGATAAGTTCTCTATAGACTGGGGTGCAGACTGGGGATGGAAGACGCCGGCAGCAGCTGTCGTCTGTTTCGCACACAGTACAGAACGCTTTGAACAGGCAAAAGTGATAGGATGGGATGAGCCTCTCAAGGACAGTGCAGGGGTGAATATCTATGATTCAAGGGGCCACTGGCTGCCCCCCACACTCTGTTAGGGGCTTCAGGCTGGTTTAGGTTGGCCCTGGACCCCAAGAGGGACTCTATTGCCCTGCTCTGAAATCTACAGGGCTGTGCCAGGGTGTTTGCGTATGAAGAGGGAGGGAGAACTTGCTAGAAACGGATGCGCAGTGGCTGCTGCGGGGAGGGGAGGTGGATTCCGAGCCGGTCACGATGCAGGGTACCTGGGGACCGTGGTGGGAGGGGGAGCGGCTAGAGGCAAAGCGTAAACAAGGCAGTCGGAAGCAAGACGACACCTCGCGTTGGATTTGTCCAAAACCAGTTAGAGATCAAAGAGGGGGCGGTCAGGGAGCTCTGATTGGTCGGGGGGAGGGGTTTGGGGTGGAGCTAGCCGCCTCTTGAGGCTTTAAAAGCTCATCGGAGAGGGGCGGGAATGCTGTCATTTGCTTTCAGACTCTCGCAGGGGTGGCAGCTTTCCCGAAGCTGTTCCCAGCAACAGAGCAGGTGTTCGCTGTCCGGACCTGGCTGGGAGGACCTAACGATCCTCAGCAGCAACATGGGACGCACCCTGGCGGTCCCTACCCCATATGGCTGTATCGGCTGCAAACTCCCACAACCGGACTACCCACCAGCTCTAATCGTCTTTATGTTCTGTGCAATGGTCATCACCATCGTCGTAGACCTGATCGGCAACTCCATGGTCATTTTGGCTGTGTCGAAGAACAAGAAGCTCCGAAATTCTGGTAAGACCCCCTTCCTTCTCTCTACCCACGGTGCAGCCACTTGCAACCCCTAGGGTGTTAGTTTGGGTGCCTGGAATAGGGAACGTGTGGACGGCCCTGCTTCCCATGTCCCGGTGAATCGCGGTGGTGATATTCTGCCACGGGGGAGGTCTCATCAACTTAGAACTTCTCCAGGCTGTGGACGTTCGGAGAAGCTCTGGGCGTCCAAGTGCAAATCTCAGGTCCCCGCGGTGAGCGGCAGACCGCCGAGCCCTGTCCCGTCGGAGACCTGATGCAGAGGGAGCCAGCACCCGAGCGGAGAGTCCAGCGACCGCCCGGGGACAGCACGCCGAGCCGGACGCCGCAGAGGTGGCCGCGCCGAGGCAGCGCGGGAGGAATTGACGCGGAGGGAGCAGCGGGGTTGCGACCCGCTCGGGTAAAGTTAAGTTCTCCGCGGCCGAGGCGGCGCTTGCCGGAGCGTGGCGCGGCGGCGGTGGAGCCCAAGCCCAGCCGAGCCCCCGCTCGCCGCAGCCCTGTGGCTCTAGGGCGGCTCTTGGGCGGCGGAGCTCAGACCCCTCGAGCCTGAGCGTGGATCAGGGAGGTCTGAGCTCGCCGGAGCCGAGCTCTGTCCACCCGTCCCAGGGCGCAAGGCAGAGAGAGGCGAGCGGGCGGCTGGGCGCAGCAGAAGGTGGCAGCGGCTGCGGCGGAGATCCCGAAGTCTGTAAGCGGGATGTCGGGGGTCGCAGGACGAGGCGGCGGAAAGGTTTGGGAACTCGGCGTCCCGGGGGCACAGAGGACAGCACAACCGATGAGGATCGCTGGAAGGCTGAGCGAGAGCTCAGACGGCATAGTGGGGGACCGCAGGGAGACCGCAAAGCGCGGGGAACTGGGATGGGGCGGAGCGCAGATCGAGACTCCCTTCGTGCTTCACCAGTGCGGAGGGGAGGGGACAGGCTGCGAGCGGGCCCGGGGAAACCGTACAGGAGGCTGCTGGGCGCTGTGTGAGCGGGGCGGGGGCGGCGGACACGGCGGGGCCGCGAGCAACATTTGCAGGTTGGGCCGGAGAGGGCTTTTGGGAGGGGGAGGCGGAGGAGGGGCGAAGGGGCCCAAAAACCCTGCTCCGGCTCCCAGAGGGAGGGGGCGGCGCCCAGGGTCTCCGCCGCCTAGATCCTGACTGGCTGGGGCCCGAGGGTAGGGGGGAGCAAGGGGATGGGATCTGAAGGGGATGGGCACCGACGGTCCCTGGGCCGGAAGGGTGCCAGGGATAGGAGGGCGCCAATCTCTGCGAGATTACTTTGCTTGGACGAGGAATGAGAAACACCACACAAGTTTCTAGAGGCACAGAGCGGCACAGTCACGAGAAGTTTTCTTTTAAACTCTGATGGGTGGGTGTGTCTGATTTCTCCGCTGTCCCCCAGAGGCGCGGGGCCGCCCGCTGGCATCTCACTTGCACCCCAGCAGTGCGGTCCGAAGGTGCCCAAAGCCAGAGCGCCCAGGGGGGAACGCACCTGCAAAGTCCGTTTTCTCTTCTTTCCGTCTTCTCCTTCCTTTCTCTCTATAATTGAAATAAAGGTGTTTTGGTTGTCGTGGTTTTGTTTATAAGTCTTTGCTTCTCTTCTTCTCCGAATTGATGACTTTGAGGGAAAACCCTAGAAAGAACGTCTTGGGTAGAAACACAGAGGCCCCGCTTTAGCAGCGTGGGCGGAAGCGGGCAGAAGGAGCCATTCCTTTGCCCTTTTAAAAGTGCTCATTTTCTCCCAGTCCAAGATGAAGTGCAGTATTTTGCCAAACCAATTCTCATTAGCAACGAGGTGTTCCCAGGAAAAGGGATCGGCGCCTGCACTTTGACCTTACAGGTTTTACAAACAGCGTTCCTATTGCCGCCCTACGAAATAGGAGTGGGGGCATGTCTCCCCTTCCCCCATTTCATGTTTAGCTCCAGTAAAGTCTGGGGCCAGGCGCCCGGAGCCAATGTGCAGGGGAGCGAACGTGCTGATGCCCGGGCTCTGCACGGGGCCCCGCGAGGAGCAGGGGGGTGATTCTTGCAGAGATTTTTCTGATTTTTCCCCTCTCCTTGCTCACTATTTCTCAAGACAAAATTTTATAGGGCCTTCCTACCGCACCCGCCTCAGTTTTTACTCTTAGGTTACCTGGGAAATGGTAAGTATTTACAAGGTTAGGTCTGAGATTCTTGTCTGATCCCGCTGGGAAAGACAGCTTAAGACAAGGACGGCCCCAATGCCCTTTCTCAGGCAGTTCTCTTTAGGCGCGTTTGCTGTTGTAAATGCAGTGGTTTAAGTTAGAGAAGGCAGGGGGCAAATTTATGTTTTCTGGGTAGACGAGGTTGAGACTTCCTGACAGTCTTCCAAACTCTCCCTCGCATGCCTCCATCCCCACCTTCCAGCCTGTTTCCAACGGATAGCTCTATCTAGCACTCAATGTTCCCTTCCTAACCCCCTTGCCAGAAGTTTACATTTTGTTTTTGTTTAAAATAGTGTCCTCGGGTCTGTCCATGTGTGGGGGAGTGTGAAGGTCCTCCCAACAGGCTCATTCTGTGGTAACTTCACTTCTTTCCCAAAGCAGTGATGACATTGTCTGAAGGGAAGAAAAAAAACAAAAAACTTGGTGAAATGACAGGAGCTTGAACCTGCTTGTGCATCAAAACCACTTGGGACCTGCTTGTAACTAACAATAAAAACACGACTGCATTTCTTTGAAAGAATTCTAGAGTTCTAAATTGTCACTTACTCCAGCTGACCTTTCCCTCCAGCTTACATTTGTAGATTTTGGAAACTTAACCATTTATTCCTCTCTGTCTTTCCCCCTCCCCCCCACCCCTATATGTTTTTCAGGCAACGTCTTTGTGGTTAGCCTCTCTGTGGCTGATATGCTGGTGGCCGTCTACCCCTATCCTCTGATGCTACATGCCATGGCCATCGGCGGCTGGGATCTCAGCAAGTTACAGTGCCAGATGGTGGGGTTCATCACAGGCCTGAGCGTGGTTGGTTCTATCTTCAACATCATGGCCATCGCCATCAACCGTTACTGCTACATCTGCCACAGCCTCCAGTATGAGCGCATCTTTAGTGTGCGCAATACATGCATTTATCTGGCTGTCACCTGGATCATGACCGTCCTGGCTGTCCTACCCAACATGTACATTGGCACCATCGAGTATGATCCTCGCACCTACACCTGCATCTTTAACTATGTAAACAACCCCGCCTTTGCTGTGACCATCGTCTGCATCCACTTTGTCCTTCCTCTGCTCATAGTGGGTTTCTGCTATGTGAAGATCTGGACCAAAGTGCTGGCGGCCCGTGACCCAGCTGGACAGAACCCGGACAACCAGCTTGCTGAGGTTCGAAATTTTCTAACCATGTTTGTGATCTTCCTCCTCTTTGCAGTGTGCTGGTGCCCTATCAATGCACTCACTGTTCTGGTAGCTGTCAGTCCGAAGGAGATGGCAGGCAAGATTCCCAATTGGGTTTATCTTGCAGCCTACTTTATAGCCTACTTCAACAGCTGCCTCAACGCGGTGATCTATGGTGTCCTCAATGAGAATTTCCGAAGAGAATACTGGACCATCTTCCACGCAATGCGGCATCCTGTCCTGTTCCTCTCTGGCTTCCTCACTGATGTCCGTGAGATGCAGGAGGCCCAAGCCCGCACCCGTGCCCGCACACAAGCCCGTGAACAAGACCGTGCCCATGCCTGTCCTGCTGTGGAGGAAATACCGATGAGCGTCTGGAATGTTCCCCTACCTGGTCATGGTGCAGCTGGCCAACCTGAGCATGTCTCTGGCCACCCCAAGCCAGCCTCTGACCATTCCAGGTCTGCCTCTGCCCGCCGCAAATCTGTGTCTGCTTACCATAAGTCTGTCTTTAGCCACTCCAAGCCTGCCTCTGCTCACCCTAAGTCTGCCTCGGGCCAGTCCAAGTCTGCCACTGTCTGTCCCAAACCCGCCTCTGTCCATTTCAATCCTTCCTCTGTCTATTTCAAGCCTTCCTCCAGCCACCCCCAGCCTGTCACTGGTCCCTCCAAGACTGCCATCGGCCCTGCCACCAGCTTCCCTAAACCCACCACTGGCCACACTCAGCGTGCTACCATTCACTCTGAGCCCACCACTCCTGACTATCTCGAGCCCATCGCCACCAGCCACCCTAAGCCTGTCATCGTCAGCCGTTCTGAGCTTGCAGCCTCCTGCCACCTAGAGTGTGACATCTTTGACCTCTCTGACCCGACCTCCAGCCCTGCCAGTGGCTCCTCCGACTCTGCTGCCAGCTTGCTGGACCCTACCGCTGCTGCTGCTGCCACTGCTGACCCCAGCGTGGTCACCACTGATTACCATGAGGTTGTGCTTATTGATGTTGATGCTGATTCTGATGAAATGGCTGTGTAAAAAGTGCTCTTGGGGTGGCTAGGCAACGGTCCACTTTTAAGTTTGCCTAGCATATGTAATGCACACTGAGATAGCTTAGTGAATCTGCACACAGACAGACACACGTGGGCATGGACTCACAGACACGGTAGACGCTTCACCCACCTTTTCAGGCATACTCCTCCTTTACATTATGTACTCAGAAAAAGTGTGAGTGTGTGCGCTTGCTGTTAGAGATACCAAATTTCCCTCACATTTGACTTCTGTTGTTTTGAGCTTCCCTTTCCTCCTGGGATTGACTGTGAGCCCACAGTGATCCTTGAACTTGTAGACTTGATTTTTCCCCATGCCTGTATAACCCATTCTCCCCTCTCATTTCCTCTTCCTTGTTTCTGCTTTCTTCTCCCATTCCTCAAGGGGTGGGGGAGGAGCGCATGCTCAGTGGTAAAGGTGCGCTATGGTAAAGCCTTCCTTCAAGCTTTATGTGTTTAAATGTGTAGCTCTTTACTGTACTTTTAACGGCAGTCCGAAAGGCAGTTGCGATAAAGTACAAGTACTCGAAAAAGTTTTTCTAAATTCCAGCAACAAACTATGACCCATACCTGAAGAACACACTTAATAAGATCTTACTAAAATAAATATTCATGCCTATGAGATCAAATGGCAAAAGGAAGGATATGGCTGCACCAAATCATTTCTATTTTGTGAAAATTCAAACGTTGGTGCTGATTTTTATAGTCAAACACGAACGTAAATGATGAGATGTTTTTACATTATTTATTTGTAGTTGCTTACCTTTTTTCAATATTTGCCAGGATTTTCTTTCACTAGTTCCAGAAAAACAAATCCATCCATAAGCTAGTTTTTACCCGAATCCAAATTTATGGCTGCTAAGATCATTTATGTCATGCTTTTAGTATTATAATTCACAACTACTCTTTATCTTAGAGATTTTTTTATACAGCTTGATGTTTTTATGTAGTCGGTTTTACACCTTTCTTTTTCATTCAAAAGGGAATTTGAGGTAATAACTGGTAGCCAGAAGTGAATGGAGTACTGCCTGAACTTGTAAACGAGTGCCTCTCTAAAAGCCTTTCTCTCCTGCCCCATCCCTCTGAGTCTCCTCGAAGTGGTGGGGAGTGTGGAGGGACGTGGGGAGGAATACTTGCCAACATCAGCCAAGCCCACCACCTTGGTGGAGGTTCTGTGGTCCACAGCATTAAGTTGTTGGCAGCCCAGGGAATGATTTTTTTTTCTCTAGAATTTAAAAAACATTGTTTAATGAAAATCTCAATTATTGATTCAAATCAGCACTTAAAGCAAAGTTTATTGTACAGACGTTTGTAAGGATAATGGAAATGTATTATACTGCCTTAATTCAATTCTGTATTTGTGCTAGCAATTAAATAAAAGCATTTTTGTGTCCTTGGTGTGTGATTTGTGGATAAATTTGCTTCTGCCACCAGAGTTACTTATGGGGAGGGCTAAGAGGTGGGTGGAAAAGCGTCCCTCTTGGGGGACCAAGAGACTTGGATGCAAGCAGTCTCTCTGCTATACCCCAGGGTGAATCACATGACCCCTCTCTCCACAGCTGTGTGGCTTAATGAGCTGGTCTGGGTGTGGTGGGGGCAGAAGAGGGCTCCCTGGGTGTGGTGTGTTCTTCTCACTGATGTGGTAACAATGGATGACATGACCTACCTGCTCTGGGACTCCTGGACCTTGCCTGTCAAGGCTTCTGAAAATAGGTCCTCTTTTACCCCCATGGAAGGAGTCGAATGGGGCCTCAATTATGTCACAACTCCACAGGCTGCTGGGACCAAATAACAAAGGCCATGATCCAGTGGGGGCAGGCACAGGGGTGTGGGACAGAAGGATGACTGGAAGTTAGGTGACAAGACCCCAGCCACTGGGCAAGCCTCCTTGGCTTCAGGAACATAGCCTCAAAAGAATATCTAATGACAAGGTAATGGCCCAAACAAATGACTCTATAAAAATAAAAGTGGATTCAAAGTAATACATGGTAGGATATCAATTTGGTTAAGAACATGTACATTAAAACATGCACATATACGTAGACTCACAGAGTTATGCATACCTATGTAGTTGTTCTATCCAGGTTTAACCAGACTGCAAGTATAAATTGAGGTCATCTTCATGTTTAATGCCCAAATTACAGGGGTTCAAGCCCCAACAGAGTGACTGCTGTACCTCAGGCCAATTCTGCATCAACATTCCTGCCAAGTATCCCCGGATATGCAAAAAGGATGCTTACTTGAGTGCTCACAAATTGCTCTGCACTCTCTCACCGTGTCCCCCCCCCCACCCCATGTTTTCCTCGTTCTCCCTGTCTGCTGTAACTCAAGGAGCTTGCTTTGGGTAATATTGCAAGTGTTCAAACCGAGGGTGCCGGGTCACGATGTTCCCTACTGGGTGCAGGGTTCTGAGAGGTGACAGGAGAGGTGAAAAAAAAAGCTACTGGCATTTTTTGTAATCTTGTTTCACACGCTACCCTGAGGTGCCTGGCATCACTACTTATGCCCAGAGAGTCTCACAAAGTCTCATGAAAGCAGCCACTTCAGCCACTCTGCTAACCAGCAAGATGTGTTCATCATTCTTGCCTCCCCACCCCCACACCCATAATCTACTCCCATGGGAACAAGCATCAGTTGAAGCATGGTGCCTCCAGTTTATGCATAGCCAAGAAACATTTTTCTCTGCCCCTCTTTCCCTTATTCTGTTCCTCTCCACTCCCAAAGTCAAGAAGCCTTGTAAGCATATCTCTAAGTAGCCATGCCCACCATGAGTGGCCAAGGCAAGACACTGAATCTCTGCAGTCAGGTTTAAGTGTTTTGTAGCTGTCCCCAGGACAATGCAAAGTTTCTGGTTTTACACAAGTGGTAATGAAAGGGCCAATCTTACTAACTTCCCCAAAGAGAGACTCTGCCTCCAGGTGAGCCTGTCTCCAGGAACAAGGGATAAAGAAATGGAAGCAAATTTTAAATGACTGTTTCCCCCAGTTTCTACTCCTCTTCACTTTCTTTTCAAATGAAAATATAATGTATATACTGTAAAGTGAAAATTTGACAATGTTTTTACACAGGTATACATACATGTAATGACCACTCTGACCCTACAGAAGGCTTCCTTTTACATCCTTCTAGTCATTACTCTAACCAAAGGCAAACAGCATCCTGACCTCTAGCACCAAACATTAATTTTGCCTATTCTAGAGCTTCATCAGAGAAGGCAGTGGCACCCACTCCACTACTCTTGCCTGGAAAATCCCATGGATGGAGGAGCCTAGTAGGCTGAAGTCCATGGGGTCGCGAAGAGTCAGACATGACTGAGAGACTTCACTGTCACTTTTCACTTTCATGCATTGGAGAAGGAAATGGCAGCCCACTCCAGTGTTCTTGCCTGGAGAATCCCAGGGATGGGGGAGCCTGGTGGGCTGCCATCTCTGGGGTCGCACAGAGTCGGCCACGACTGAAGCGACTTGGCAGCAGCAGCAGCAGAGCTTCATATAAACGGAAACATGCACCATGTATTTTTGTCCAGTTTCTTTTTATAAATAGTGAATAAATATATACAACATAAAATTTGGGAGGGAGCGTCAAAAGGGAGGGGATATATGTATACCTAGGCAAATTCTTGTTGGGGTTTGACAGAAAACAACAAAATTATGTAAAGCAATTATCCTTCAACAAAAATATAAATTTAAAAAGATTTACCATTTCAGCTATTTTTAAGTGTGCAGTTCAGTGGCATTAAATACATTCCCAGTGTTGTGCAATCATCACCACTGTTCATTTCCAGAACTTATTCATCACCCCAAACATAAACTCTGTAGCTATTAAATTGCTGTTATTGTTCAGTTTCTAAGTCGTGTCTGACTCTTTGTGACCCCATGGAATGGCAGCACACCAGGCTTTGCTGTCCTTCACTATCTTGGAGTGTACTCAAACTCATGACCATTAATTAAGTCAGGGATGCCATTCAACCTTCTCATCCTTTGCCCACTTCCTCCTCCTGCCCTCAGTCTTTCCCAGCATAAGGGTCTTTTACAGTGAGTGTGTTTTTTTGCATCAGGTGGCCAAAGTATTGGAGCTTCAGCATCATTCCTTCCAGTGAATATTCAGGACTGATTTCCTTTAGGATGGGCTGGTTTGATCTCCTTGCAGTCCAAGGGACTCTCAAGAGTCTTCTCCAGCACCACAGTCTGAAAGCACCAGTTCTTTGGCACTCAGCTTTCTTTATGGGCCAGCTCTCACATCCGTACATGACTACTGGAAAGACCATAGCCTTGATTATATAGACCTTTGTTGGCAACATGATGTCTCTGCTTTTTAATACATTGGCTAGGTTGGTCAGCTTTTCTTCCAAGGAGCAAGCATCTTAATTTCATGATTGCAGTCACTGTCTGCAGTGATTTTGCAGCCCAAGAAAATAAAATCCACTGTTAATTCTTTCTGTCTCTATGGATTTGCCTATTCTAGGTACCTGATATTAATATAAATGGAATCATATATTATTAATATTTCTTCTTTTGTGTCTTATTTCTTTCACTGAACATAATGTTTTCAGGGTTCATCTATGTTGTAGCAGGTGTTAGTACATCATTGTTTTTATGAATGAATACATCATATTATGTTAGTCTACTCATTCATTGATGGACATTTGGGCTATTTCCAGTTTTTTGGCTGTTATGAACATTGATTTACAAGTATTTGAGCATCTGATTTTAATTCTTTCGGAAATATATTGACTAGTGGAAATGTTAAGTAATTTGTTAGTCTGGCTTCTTTTGGTCAATTAATTATGTCATTGAGATTTATTCATGTTTTTGTATCAGTAGTTTGGGGTGGTTTTCCATATTTATGTAGTGCTCTAAGACTCTTGAGAGCCCCTTGGACTGCATGGAGATCAAACCAGTCAATCCTAAAAGAAATCAATCTTGAATATTCATTGGAAAGACTGATGCTAAAGCTGAAGCTCTGATACTTTGGCCACCTGATGCGAAG